TCTTAATGCCCAACCACTCTTCAGTTATTTTTTTTTTTTTTTTTTGTGACCCTAATCTTCCCTGGCACAACTTAATGCAAGTTCCTCTCGTTCTTTCACTTGAGACACTGCAGAGGAGACTGACCCCTACTTCACTACAACCTTCTTTCAGGTAGTTGTAGAGAGCAATGAAGTCCCTCCTAAGCCTCCTTTTCTCCAGGCTAAACAACTCCAGTTCCTGCAGCTGCTCTTGATAAGACACATTTTCTAGACCCTTCCCCATCTTCACTGCCCATCTTTGGACATTCTCCAATGTCCTTTTTGAAGCCAGTGACACAGAACTGGACTAAGTACTTGAGGTGCAGCCTCATCAGTGCCAAGTACAGGGGAAGGATCACTTCCCTGGTCCTGCTGGCCACACTATTTCTGATACAGGCCAGGATGCCACTGGCCTTCTTGGTTACCTGGGCACACTGCTGGCTCACTCACATTGAGCCAGCTGTTAACCAACACCCACAAGTCCCTTTCTGCTGAGCAGCTTTGCAGCTGTTCTTTCCAAACCTGTAGCAATGCATGGGGTTGTTGCTACCCAAGCGCAGGACCAATAACAATAATATTGGTGCAGTGCAGAGAAATACACAACTGGTACCTATTCTGCAGTCCTGAAAGTTGGAGGCATGGGATTTGAGGCAGAGAGGTACAGGCATGGGATGACACAAGACTGTGCACTGACTGATACAGGAACCCCCGGGTTATAAACAACTCACCAACAGTCAAATAAATTCAGGAGTGGAGCTGGTCAAAACCGATTTCAAGGGCACCAAAGAAATGAAGTAAGATATAATGAAGTAAGATATGCAAAATTTACCACCAATTGTAAATCATATATACATTAAATATAGTGAATGTAGTGCAGTAGAACATAGAGTAAATGTGTCGTGGAGATGCAGACCAGAGCAGAGCAAAAGTTAGCACAATGGAAAATTACACCAAACAGATTGCCCAGTCATGAAGAAGCTACCAGCATTGTAGTCCTCTCAGCAAAGGACAGAGTGCTGACAGCTTGCCATCCTTGCTCTCCTCTCCCCCTAGCACACACCCCCCTCCTGCTCAGTCCGAAGCTGTGATCTCAACTCCATAGGATTAGCACTGATGACAGAAAAGTGCCTGCCCTGCTTTGAGGTCATAGTTACATCTTTCACAATGAAGTACAACTCAGTGCAAGAAATACTGCCAATTTTCTTCGACTTTTCAGATACAGAGTCCAACAGCAAATTTGGTTTTCATTACGACTGGTTTCACACTGAACTGGATCTGAAGAGTTGAGTCAAAGGCGTGATTTCTGTTGTACTGATACCCAAACAGCTCTGAGTGTGCATGTGTAGATTCCTCTCCCAGAATGGAAACAGAAGAAAGGAAAAAAAACCCACCAACTTGATTTGTTGAGCATAATTGTATGGATAATCTCAATCCATTACTTTGTGGCACAGAACAGTTTTCCATTCACACATCCATCTTCCCTGAAATAGAAGACTATTCTTACATTTTATTCACTTAATGGTTTTGATAGAAAATCTGTTTTGCTGCAGATGAGGGCCCTGGAGGGTTTTGGACTATTGTAATACATAAGAGCTGCCTGACATTGCAGCATTCATTCTCCAGTACGATTGCCTAGCAGGGCTAAAAGCACTGATGTCTTCTACAGTTCTGGTATTGCCATTATCCATTTCAATGGGGTTTAAATGTAAAAGTGAAATTGATGGTGTTACAGCATGAATTTCAATCATGCTAAGAAGGAAGATATTGATGGGAGCCAGCAAGGGAGCTCTGAACAAAAATATTGCAAGGAAGAAGCTGAAAGGCTGATTGCTATGAGCCCAGTGACTCTGTGTTTTGAAGTGACAGAGCTGCCACACATTAAAACACTGTAACTCAGGGGTAGAAAAACTAATGAGAAAGCAGTAAGACTGTTTTGCAAGAGCTTAAGGAGTTGGATTTTAATTTCCACAGGAGACAAGCAAATCTGTGAGCAACCTTGACACAAATTGAAAACAGAATCACAGTGTTATGTGGTTCACTGAAGAACCTCTGTCACAACTATGGCTCTGATTCCTGCTTGGATCCAGACAAATATCCATGAGAGTTTCCTCTGGGGTTGTGGTCAGCAATTCCCTTGCCTGCCTTTGCATGCCCTGAGACTTAATGTAATCACCAATGCAATTTTCAGTTCAATTTCAATCATCACATGCAATTTTGTGAGAAACACAGACAGTTTTTGAGGATCTCCACATTTACCTTGAGCTGCAAACAACTAAAACGGCTTGTCTGGTGCCTTGATTTATTTGTATTTGTGCTTCCATGACAGCAGCATGCTCTGTACCTGTCTAATTGGTTTGAATCAAATTTAAACACTAGGCAAGCTCAAAAGAACAGAGATGTACAACAGAGCTGTAGTCTTGATTACAGAATTATGGTTGAGGTTACAAAGAAGAAAATAAAATTATAATGTCAAATCAGACATTATAATTATTTCAGATAATACAATAAAAATCCTGCTTAGCTTCTATGGTATTTTTTTAGATCACAAACTTAGCATTTAGGCTGTTCTCTCTAAATAAACTCCCTTTCCCACCTTCTATTGGTCTGATATTCCTGCTGCCTAACTCTAGCCTGTGGTTTAAGTTCCAGTCCCAATTTTCTCCATCTACAGCTTGCTCACACTAAAGTGGAAGAAAAATGCTTGTAGGATTGATACATTCAAACCATTTGAGGAAAGAATTGTGACAATGTACTGAAGAAATTTTGAGGCACAGTGACTGACAAAAGCTCCTACCAAGAAACAATAATAATGTGTGTGAAGTGGATTTTTATACAAGATTTCCTTAGGGAACCCCTTTCTTTTCAAAACTATCATTTTATGATAAAGATCATTATGCGTTTTTAACAAAACATTTCTATTGTACTCTGAATAAAAAGTCTTTTCCCCCTGAAAGTGTTTTGAGACAAATATGTACCAATGTGTGAAAACATGATTTTATCTTTATAGGAATTTCTTATGAATAACCCTTGAAAACATCTCTCTCAAGCTGCAGGCTCTCCTATTCTGTCTGCATTATTTGTATTCATACTCTCACTGGTAACATCTGCGGCCAAGGCTTTCTGCAGAGCCAAATCACAGCATTTTGAATGAAATGTAAAATCTTTACTGATGGACCTCTTCAGTAGGCTGGGTGCAGCACTAAGTAAAAATTGATTCATTTTCTTTCAGTAAAAAGGTTCCATATGAACCACCTACCTATCTGGCCCTGCAGGTGTACCGGTACTGGTAGCCTTTCTTGTAAGCGTACTGTGGAAAGGTTTGAAATCTTAGCTTTATTATTATTAACGCAGACCAGGCCCTGTTGGGTAAATCTACAACCAATATCAGTCCTAAAGACTCTGAAATCTCTGATTATAGAAAGGAATGGTCACATACAACTGAAAATTAATTCCCTGTAAAGGCAAACCTACTCTTTGGTTATGCGCTGTCGTAATTAAGGATTTAACCCAGATTGTCCCAGCATTTCAGACTAAGTCTATGTTAAACTGCATATAACACTTTCAAGTTTGCTAGATAATTAAAAAGATTTAAAAAAAATGCTACAAAGTATATAGCTGTTTCATACAGCAGCTCCTTATTTACTTTACTGCAATATTAATTATAATAATATACTTGTATTGCAGTGGAAGCTCCAGTTAAGGGACTAGGACTTCATTGCACCAGAACACGACAAAACAAAACATGACAAAAATAGGCTCAACACAGCCACTGTCGATGCATCAGTGGAAGTGATTAATTAATATAGGTGTCTAACTTGTGGCTCTTCAGGTGTGTAAGGCTCACAGGAGATGTAAGTATGGTGAGAACATGGAATGCCAGTGACTGAAGGCTGGGTGATGCTAGCAGAAAGCTCATCTTTAACCAGCATCCCTGGCCAGGGGAGAAAGCCTGAGAGCAGAGCCCGTTGCAGTCGTGCTATTTGGCTGGACAGTGACACAGCTGCACAGTCAGCCTGATCTCCTTTTGTGTAGTGAGGTGGCTGGGGAGCCTTTCTCACTGAAGAGAGATTTGCCTCCAAGTAGTACTTGAATGCTGTAGCTCTCACAGCAATTTTGCTTGGCGAGTGTTCTTTGTGTTTTAGGCTTGCAAGTTTGGTAATACTCAGAGAATCTAAAGCTAGGGATCTAAAATACTTATTTAAGTTATAAAGACACGTAAGCATTCCTTCAAGGTTATTCAGGGCAACTTAACAAGGATCATATTAATATATTCCTGACTTTTTGTCAAAGTCCCGCTTATTTCATGTGAGTTTATTCAGCAAGTGGAATTATGAGGTTTTTGTGCTTGCATGGTAATGCTACCTTGCACAGAATTTGACTATCATGCTAGCTGAAGTACAGTAATAGGTCTGGGATATTATTACTATATTTCTACAGTGGAAATGTACTAGGGGACAATTAGGAGCACATGCTAATTGTGTTTGCATTGCTTAGCTTCATTTATTAGATTTTTTTCTGTGATGTATATTAATAGACTTTTAATAGACATGGCTATATTTTCAGAAGAAGGGGGTATCACTGTGAAGAATAAATTTGAAGATAAATAAGTCACACTGGAAACAATGTACAAAACCAAAACGTGCCTGAGGTGAGGCAGACACCAAATTAGTGTTTTGTCCATCTCTCTGATCTCCCATGAATTCAGTGTTACTGTACTAAACATGTAGTAACAACGTATTTGAGTACAACTGGATAAGATAAATTAGGAGCTTGAAAATAAATTTACAATACACAAGCTCTGCCTTCTGAAATATGACGCACTGTGCCTGGAAAAACAAAAAAAGAGGTTGTAGAATCAATTCTCTTGAAGAGTATTTTTCAGTGTAGGCAACACTGTAGCATATATTAATATTAAAAGCTTCAACTTTTCAGACAGTTTCAAGGGAGCACTGAAACGTGTCTTTCCTGTCTATCCCATGCAGGGAATTACTGGAATGCAGCTTCTTTCGTTACTTCATCGTCTTACCTCCACTTCTCCACCTTCCAAGGGGAAACCAGTGCGGACATCTCTTTCTATTTCAAGACATCAGCCTCGGATGGGGTGTTTCTCGAGAATCTGGGTAACACCGACTTCATCAAACTGGAGCTGAAATGTAAGTATATTCTTCTCATCACTTTCTTTGCACCTGAGCAGGGTTTGTGACAGATAGTAGGTTTCAAGAAAGGTGTGTCATTCAGTAAAATGTGTAAGCTCCCTAAATTCTGAAAAAAACTTCCAAATGAAGTTGCTTGACATGTTTTCAGGTTGCCTTGTGTGTGAAGAGCACTTGAAGTATACTTGGATTGCTTATTTAGGAGAAAAATACAAAGAAGAATAGAACTGGTAACATCAATTATAAAAATTAAGCTGCCTTGAAAAGAGTTTCCAAAATTGCATGTCAGTATTATTTCTTAAAAGTTTATTTTTTCAGCTCTGTGTGGTTTTTTTTAATTGTATTCCATGGTTCCTTTAGAAACAGGGAAAAGAAAGACAAAAGAGAGACAATCCTAATCATCACTGCAAGGAGCCAACGAGCTGAAAACTTTCATATGATATTTAAAAGCCATTAAAAATCCCATAAAAATAAATCTTTATCAGCATTACCTGTTAATAAAATCACTGATCTGAGAAAGAGGGTATATGATATCAAGAGGCAAGTTAATTTTATTATTTAAACCGCTTTTAATGGCCCAGGGGCAAACTTTCCAGGGAAAGGTGCTGAAACCCTCAGCTGTACCTGAATTCTGCTTAGTGAAACTGAAGTAGCTGAATTAGTGAGAAACATGTTTTATGTCTCCTTTGTTCTGCCTCGACCCTGCCATAAATGGGAGCAGCAACAGGCCCGCTGTGCTTTGGGTGGTTGTTATTATAGCCCCAAGCAGCACATTACAGCACTGGGGTTATATGAGTGCAGCAAGCTGCCTCCCTGCACTCCAGCACTGGGAAAAGCATGTGGGCTTTCTCTTGCTGCAGGAGCTACTCATGGACACCAAGGAGCCAGCCCTAAATACTGATGCACAAAAAAAGTCAGTGCCAAAAGTTGCTAATGTTGAAAGATGGACCCCAAATAATCTGTCTTTTATGCAGATGCACATATCTAATTTGAAAACAAAAACAAACAAAAAAAAATTTTTCAACACTTCCCAAAGTTTAAACATGCAGATCAGAATGTGGAGACCTAGAAACCACTGGGAGGCCCCTTCAAAATGCATCTAAATTTTTCCCTCTGGGTAAGAATAAAACACCAAGTTCCAATTGGATGAATGTATTTTTTCCTTCTTTCTACAAGGATTTTAATTCCATGTTGCTTAATCCCAGTTTGTCTAATTTGCAATTAGTGCAAATCAAAATAGCTCCTATTGAGTCACAAGCAATAGTCTTAATTGCTTTAACAAGAGACACAGCGCTTTAGTAATAAGGTGGCAGTTATTTCTGATATCCCTTTGAATTTAAATAGCACTTCTAGCCAGTTGAGATGGGCATTTTCAGAGCTTCTTGCTCTTCTATCTTATGAAGGTGGTCTGCTATTGTAATCAGACCAGCCATGCCGTTTGCTTAGCTAAATGATGACAGTAACAGTGAATACAGGTGACCATAACACTGAATAAGGGTGAGTTGGCAATGAATCTAATTCTTTTGAACTCAGCTCAGGTTAAAAAATAATCATGCTCCAACTGCTTGCTGAATAGATGTACCCGTTCAAGAAAGTACATGGCAGTTTACTCAGAATATCATTAAACAGAACTTTAATTTTAAGCCCGTACTTGAGATCCACTGACTTTGCTGTGACCTGGCATATGCATAAATTCAACCTCTTTCTCATGTCCCTGAATATAAACCTTAGGTTATAAGTTCTTGGTGGCAGAAATTGAAATATCATCTGTAAAAAGAGATGTGAAACATTAGTAAAAACTATGCTGACTGTATAAAGTACAAAGCAGTTCATTTGATGTATTTCCATTCACTCTATCCTTTCTTTCCTGAAAACTATTGCTTGACATTTTCAGAGTCCCAGAAAATAGGCCTTTCCGTGACTTAAATGTTTTACCAATCACAGCTCAAAAAGAGACTTAAAAAAAGTTCAAAAAGTGACTCAGAAAATATTTAAAAAGTGTTGAATGTTGTGAGTTTAGTAACAAAGAGAAACTCATTCTCTCTTCTGAATTGCACATTTATTTAATGAACCTACTTTTTGTACAGTTTTTATGTTTGTTTCATTTCAGTCTGTAGTTATGGTTTTCTGGAATTCATTCAAAAGGAAAGTAAATTTTCAGAATTTCAGAAGTTTCTTACACAGCTTACAGGTGAATCTGCTGCTTCCTAAAAGTCTATTTCCCCTTAACAGAAGTCCTGCAAAATTAACATGTGAATTCCTTCCTCAGTAGGAACACCAAGTTAAGTCAGTACAGTAATTACAGAATTACCCCTAAACTCTTTCCTTCGCCAAGCTGCTTTTTGGCTAACCCATCACATTCTTTAGTGGAAAAGCTATTTTGCATTAAAGGTTTTTTACATAATAACCATCATTGCTATTTACTGCAGCTGCTGTACTTCAAACAGTCTGTTCTCGGTTTCTTTGCTTTTTATCATTCTAAAGGGAAAATGTTGAAATCAGCATCCTGCCAGTAAACAGTGCAAATTCTATTTTCTTCTTCCCTTATTTGTATAATACCTGTATGTACCTGTAATATGTGATTAGTGATGTATAAGTTTAGCTTCAAGTCTTTGGAAAGCACAAAAGTTGTTACTAGAAAGACTAATTAAATTATTTTACTGGTGTTCTGTCTCTAATAAGTCTTAAGTCTTATCTTGTCTTAAGGTCTAATAACTGCATAGATTTGCTCCAGGTTCATATAAAAAAAGAGGTGGAATTTGAAGTATCTTGAGGAGTAACTCCATGCAACTTTAGTAAAGCCCCAAGTTGCCATCTCTGAGGAGAGAGGAAATACAGGAAGGAAGGGAAGAACACGTTTCTCTGATTTAAGAAATAACCCTTCGAAACATCTGAAAAAGAAGACTGTCAAGAAAAAAACAGTGATACAATTTTAGTATGAATGTGGCTGAAGTCTTTATTCCATTTATCAAGAAACTCCTCTGGCAGGCTTGTACTTGTCACCATTATGGAACAGCTGACAGAGATATAGAATTACCTGAAGCCTCTGTTTTCACATACATCAGTAAATTCACAGAACTTCATTATTTTCATAGCTGGCTGGTCAGCTGACAACATCTAGGACTGCTTAGAAAGAAAAGTAGTTGAATAAGGTATTAATTTTTCTGTAAATCAGAACTTCCAGAAACCATTCATGTGTGGTCAAAATTTTAAAATTAGAAGTGTATTTTAGAGAGAGAAAAATAGGATGCTTTCTCTTTTAGAGTTTTCCTATATAGTTTTGTAAATTTATGAAATAGGAGCAAAAGACCTTGGAGTTATGACAATAAAAACCTAACTACTTCATACCAGAGAAGTTTGTCAAATAGATCACATTTGAATTTTCTGTATAAGAGATATCCCAAGTTTTGGAAAAGATGTGTTCCTGAAAGCAAATTTTGAAAGGGGCATATTCATGAGAATTTGGGAAGAAGGTTCCACTGTCAGTGTTTCCAGAAAACGCTCTTAATGACAACGTCATATAATTTGGATGAGGAAGACATTCTACTCACTTCTGTAGCATCTCTCATCCCATCATCACCATGCAATTTACACACACAAATGAATTGTGTCTCACTGTTATTGTTCTGAAGTAAGCAGCAAGTTTACTTACTTCAGGGGAGGTTTAGGTTGGATATGAGGAAGCAATTTTTTACAGAGAGAGTAATCAGACATTGAAATGGGCTGCTCAGGGAAGTGGTGGATTCACCATCCCTGGAGGTTATTAGGATGAGACTGGGTGTGGCACTGAGTGCCACGGACTAGTAACCATGGCGGTGTTGGATCAAGGATTGGACTTGATGATCTCGGAGGTCTTTTCCAACCTCATTGATTCTATGATTCCGAGTCACTTTAGCAACAGGAGAAAAAAAAATATGAGGCTTAGAAATAAAGGTCAGCTTGTGTTTGATCCTGGCATGAACATGTAAGAGAGGAAGGATTTTTCTTATTAATTTATTTAGAAAGCTAGGAACATTTACAACCACTACTTTCAGGGATGCCACGTGACTGATAACCCCTGAAACGTTAGGTGCCCCAAAAAGTCTCCCCAAGGAGTGATCGCTGAACTTGGCAGCTGTGAAAGGAATTATGTGGAGTAGCTTGCTAAGGGGAGCAGTGGTATGGCTTCAGGATGTGTCTACTTGCTCTGTGGGCAAGGGATACTGGCAGCACTCTAATACCTAACATTTGCATGTGAAAAGTCCCCCAATGCTTCTAGTGCTTAGCTGTTTCTAGGCTACTCAGTTAAGACATAAGTAACTCCTCTTATCAGACAAGAAACAATGACAGACTAGGGACCAGGATTCCCATTGCTGTTTGCTTCTACCCAGAGAGCATTCTTCCCTCCAGACTCACTGCTCTAAATCAAGACTGATTAATATGTTTTCTTACAAATTTTAATAACTTCATCACTTCTTTCTCCAGAGGCATCCTAAAATAGAATTCTACCATATCAATGAGTTTTCCATATAATATTCAAATTACCATATGTTACAGTAAATATAGCTTACATTTTCCACCCCTTGGTTTTTTACCTGGGTAAGGAAAGTGTTGTGACCTTAACTATTTCTTTTTATTGAGCTGTTACTTTTTTTCCTTAGCAGAAGGCCCTTTTCTGTAAAAAATCCCTATAGTAACGGATGTGCTGCATTAGCCACACGTCAAAAAATGCATAGGACAATGAGGCATCTCTTTATCCCAGAGGCCCATGAGAAGTTATCAAATTAAAGGGAAAAATATTACATTTCTTCGGGGAAATTTATGACCCAAATGTTTTTACAGCAGTATTTGCAAACCCTCATCCTATCCCAGGACAATAAAAGTTTCGAACAAAAAACAAACAAAACATTCTGAAGAATTGCAACCAGCATTCTTTGAAAGACAAGATTCTATTTCAGATGAGGTAGGTGATGCAGAAATGCCTGATATTCAAGCAGTCAATTCCACCTGTACCTTGTTCC